TTGAGATGGAGTTTCATTCTCTGGAGTGCAATGGCGCGATCTCGGCTCACCGCAACCTCCGCCTCCTGTGTTCGGGCAATTCTTCTGCCTCAGCCTCCTGAGTAGCTGGGACTACAGGCACGCGCCACCATGCCATTGCGTATTATTGAGGAGTTGTGACTCATAATGGTATCAGAGCCACACAAGTGATAGTATGGGGCTTACTCCAGAGAATCAATGAGAAAGCCTCCAGTTAGATGTAGATGCAAGACTTACATTTAGTTAAGAATGGTTGATGCGCTTGCAGGGAAATTCTTGAGGAAATGCAGTCAAAGTCGGCAGTCGCTTGGGGACAGGTAGGAGTCATTTGACCTTATAATGAACAAACCTTGCCCACCGGGATGAGTGATCAACAGTTAAATGATGGATTTCTGGGAAAAAAAAACTCTAGCCCAAGAAAGTTATATTTTCAAGGAGTGAAGAAAATGGAAGTCACTGCATGATTCAGGAACATATCTCTATGGGGATTTTCTATAACTCTTCCATATAGCATATTTAGGTAGCACATTCTCTGTGTCTGACAAAGCCTTCCAACTGTCACCCCTGTGGAATGGCTGAGGGTGGGGAAGCATGCTTATATTTTACAAAGATGAACACCCAATCTTTCTGTCTTCAGGGACACTGTCCTGGCCTCCTTGTGCTGTCTTGCCCCTTGTACAGTGGGTACTCCACGTTGCAATTGGAGTGATCTTTTAAACTAGATGTTATGATGGTGTATTTCCCTGCTCTAAACCTGTGAAAGGCCCCCATTGCCCTCAGGATAATAGCCAAACTCAACCGTAGGGCCTGCGCTACCCTACCTGCCCATCTTACATCATCTTTCACTATTCCTTGCTCCTCCCATTCCAGCCTTTTGTATGCGTGGCTCCCCCTGCTTGGATCACCTTGGTACTAACCTCACACCCATCCCACTGCTCTCAAACACACACACACACACACACACACACACACACACACACACACACCCACCCCTGCATACACATTGGGTAACTCTTCCTCATTTTTTCAGCCTCCCCTGATTGCTCAAGGGCGTGTTACAAACTTCTCTTAAGTCCTCCTTTAGTATTTCCTACATCCTGTTTTCTTGCACTTACCACACTTACAGCAGGCGCTGCTAATTCCCTTCCCAACACCCATTCTACATTTTTTCCTTATTAGCAGAGCCCTGATTTTTCTCAGAGTAGCAATGTGCTCAGTTAAAAAAAATACTCACCGTCCCAGACTCCCTTGCAGACACGTGTAGTCATACGGCCCAGTTAGAGTCAATGAGATGTAATGGAAGCCTACTGGGTCGAATTTCCAGAAAGTCATTGTCTCCATTTAAAGCAGAAGCAGGCTTAACTAGTTCATACATTGTTTTGCCTTTGTCCTTCACATTGTCTCCTCTGCCCATTTGGAATTTGGATTTGAGCCTTAAGAAGCAACAGACATTTTCTGAAGTCAGAAATGAGGGCAAACACCAAGGATGGCAGAGCAGGAAAATGGAAGGGGCTTGTTGTCTTAGGAACAACGGGAAGCTGCCTTAACTGTCTAGGACTGTCTACCCTTGGATTTCTCTCTCTCTCTCTCTTTTTTTAAATAATTTTTTTTGTTTTTATTTTTATTAGATAGATTCTTGCTCTGTCACCCAGGCTGGAGTACAGTGGTGTACTTATAGCTGACTGCAGCCTCTAACTCCCGGGCTCAAGCCATCTTCCCACCTCAGCATCCCAAGTAGCTGGGACTATAGGCACATGCAATCACTCCTGGCTGTGTTTCTTTTTACATGGACATGTTTCTATTAAATTCCTATTTTATTAATGTGTTACGTGGGGCTGAACTCATTCCTAACTAATCT